ATATATATATATATATATAGTTTGGGTTGCCATTTGTTGGGCAAACGTTAGGGTTGTTTTAGTTGGAAACGTTCCATTTATAATCGTTATGCTGCCGAAATTGACTGGTAGTATTTTTTTTAAACCACAAGATACCTATTCAAACAATCTCACCGAAAAGTACGGCGAGGATCGCTCGGCCTATCCCCTAGTTGATACTGACTTGTGGAATGAGGCGGTTGGGGGATCCAAGAAAGGCCGTCTATTTGGGTTCGGGTACAATGAAGATCCCAATTTGGTCTTGACCGGGACATCCTCACAAGCAAACTCGAGTGGATCGCCTAACATAGATAGTCATGTATGTACCTTTTTATCCTTTGATGTTTATTTATTTCATTTATACTTATTAGAAATTTTAACGTTTTATTGTATTTGTAGTTAATTAACAACTTACAATCCCAAATTGAAGAAATGCGCACTCGAGATGAGATCCGACAGAAGGAGGTTGAGGATCTTATTCGCCGAAATGAGATTCGATAGAAGGAGGTTGAGGAACTTCTTCGCCGAGAAGAGATCCGAAACAGGGAAAATGAGATCCGAAACAGGGAAGATGAGATCCGAAAGAAAGAGCTTGAAGACATGATGGATATGATGAAGAGGTTTACACAATCTCAACAGTTTCCGCCTACCCCGCCGCAATAGATTTAATATAGTGCACTAATGAACTAGCGTCATCAATCGAATTTATATATGTATATTATTTCGTCCGGATAATCATATTAGGTTTTTATGACATATTTGTGTATTGTATATTTGTATTTAATTACAGGATATTTATATTTTAGGATTTTATATTTTGGTATTTTGGTTTTTTTTCCTGTACCAGCTAAATTTCAGACGGATTTTTGGCGGAAAATCCGTCAGTAAATAAGTAGATATAAGTTTTATTTAAAAAATTTCCGACGGATTTCCCACGGAAAAATCCGTCGGTAAATATTTTCCGTCCACTAAAAATAAAAATATTTTCATATTTTAAATTAGAAAAAAAATTAAAATATAATTACTGACGGAATTTCCGTTGGAAATCCGTCGGAAAAAATGCTATTTTTATTTTTGAAATAAAAACTGGTTAATATTTTTGAAGAAATAGAAAAAGTTTACCGACGGATTTCCGACGGAATTTCTGTCGGTAAATCTAATCCCATTTTATATTACTTCTAATTAACCCGGACAATTACTAACATGTTATAAAATTGGACGACGGATTTCCGACGGACATATTCGTCGGAAAATACAAATCCGTTGGAAAATGCATTTAGCGGCGGGGGTTTTTTCGACGGCAAAATCCGTCGGAAAGTTGTTTTTCTGACGGATTTCCGACGGATTTTGCCGTCGGAAAAACCAGATTTAGTGTGAATATGACAAAAACTAAGAATCTTACCCGGTAAGAACGAAAGCAAGAATCAAGAGTCTTACCTGGTAAGTAAGAACAAGGACTCTTAACATGGTTAGCGCTTACCAGGATAAATTGTTGCATACGATGCATTTTAGTGAATAAAATCTTGCCCGGTAAACGATAGTGTTGAATTTTACCAGTAAGTGTTTACCGAGTAAGTGTTCAGATAAACGGCCCCTTAGTTTACTTAATAATCACTTATGGATACGTTACATGCATGCAAAAGTATGAATGATGCCTTTTAAATGTATAGCCATGATTGAAATCAAAATTGTTTTCATCCAAACAAAGAAAGTTATAGTAATGAAGAACCAGGCAAAACCAATTACTAATTCTTATATTTATTTTTTTTTCTTTATATATCTTAGAGTAAACTTACAAGGAATGAAGTGACATCGTAGAAGTGCGTATTCTTCATTTCCTGAATTGTGGTTGAGTTTTGTATATCTTATATTTATGGAGATATGAAAGATTTACAATGAATCGTAGGTATATGAAGGGAGGTTGAGATGTCTTTGTGACAACTCATGGAGTTGGCTCTTCTTGACCGATCCTCTTAATTCACATTGTTGGCTCATTTTGGCCGACCCTCCGAGCTCATGAGTTGACTTATTTTGGCCATCCCTATTTTAGCAAAGAAAATGTTAACCATACAAAATAAAAAATATTTGTTAGATTTTTAAATATTTTAAAATCTTGAAGTATGGTGTGATTTTGGTTATCTATTACCAACGTCGTTTTACAATTTCTTTTTGTTAAATCGACATATCAAATAATATTATGAGATTTAAGTAATTTTTTTTAATTGTGGTATAATTTTTGTTATCATACAATTATGAGAAGATGATTGAATACACAATATACATARTAATATTAAAAGACTTTGTATTTCTTTGAAAAATTAGTTCGTTAGAATATAATTTTGACCAACCCTCCTTTTGCAAAAAGAATATATACATATACACACACACACAACTTATTTAATTAAAAAAAAAACTATCTATACTATCTTATAAAATATTTGCATAAAACTCTTAAAAACTCTTAAAAACTCTTAAAGGCAACCTCTATTGCTTTAGATACAACCTACTAAAGCATACTATCCCTGAACTCCAACCATCCCTAATCTATGTATCCCTAAACCCAATCCCATTTTTATCGCCAACCCTAAACCCAATCCCATTTTTATCGCCCCAACCCAATTCGATTTCATCTAAACGATTTCATCGCCCTAACCCAATTCGATTTAATCCCTAAATATCCTGTAATTCGATCTCTCGATATCCAGGTGGATCTAGACTCTGTACTAACAATGGCGTCTTGATGAAGAATGGTTCTCGAGATCATGATCGTCGGAGATCGAGCAGGTATGTGTTTATCTCTCCAAATTTAGGTCAAAATTTCACTTAGAACCACCGTTGATTCTGAGATCATGATATGATTGAATACGAAATTAGTTCAATCATAGGAATTAGGGATTGTTTACTTGAGGCGCTTAATTCAAAGAACAGAATGCACAAAATCTGGTTTAAAGCTTGTTCAAATTGAATCCACCATATTGTGTTATTCCTACTTTTGATTCTTGAGTCTTCGAATTGCTGGTTGTATATGAAACTTCCATTAGATTCCTTTTGTTACTGTTACTGTTATCTGTGTTTCAATTTTCCATCCACTATAACCTGCAAGTTTAGAAATCAGAACGGTACACAACGGTGGGGATGGAGGAGGTTCGTTTCACACGATGCGTTTTGGCATCGGACTGGACGTAACAGAAAACAACTCATTGTTGTTCTAAGCTCCTACCTGTCTTAATTAATTAACAAATGCAGATGTAACAGCTATGCATGAGATGTCTCCAGAGCTATATTTGTGTGTGTGTTAAAGAATATGAATACCCCTGTTGCTTGCTATAATGCACACAACACCCTTGTCTCTGTTGTAATGCATGTACTTTGTTTATGTAATTAAGGACCACCATGCCCCCCCCCCCCCTCTGAGTGATATGAAAAAATGACCTCTTCTTAGACCACAATTGTTTTTAGAGGTTTTTAGAAAACTCATCAGCAATATAGCTTAACATGTAATTCTTTCTTTCTTTTTTGCTTTGTTATATATGGCTGGTCCTCTGAGTCAACTTCAACCCAACCAAAAGTCCATATTTTCAGGTTTGATTTCGTTCATCTCTGCTTGGGTCTCAATGATCATTTTCTTCTTGATTTTTCTCTTTCTCTGCCCTGAGATTTTGATAATCGATTGTTTGTATAATGCTTAATGTACCTATTCAACTCATTTCTTACGTCGTTAAACCTAAATACATATTCAAGTCATTCCTTGTATAATCGTTGGATTTTGAATAGGAAGAACAAGCGAATTTCTAAGGGAAAGAAGGGAGGCAAGAAGAAAGCGTGATTTCTTTTTATCTGTGTGTAACAAGTTTATGATATTTTTTAGTTTTTGGAACTCTTTAAGTTGAAGATCTGGTATTTTGAACAAATTGTTTACTTCTCTTATCCATTTTTTTTATATATAAACTGAGCTGATCCTTTTTCCAAGAAGGATTGGTATGATGTCAAAGCTCCATCTCTATTCAGCACCAGAAATGTTGGTGGTCATGGGGCTGCTCTTCATGCTGTTGAGAAGGTAATGCCAACCATGGTTTCCCTTTTTGTCACTTTGTTAAGTTTTTATTTTATGKTATTTTATTTTATTGTACGTCTAGGATCGATTGAACATTGTCATTRTAGAAGCAAGAAACTYGATTTCAGGATCTCCTTGGGTGAATTGTATTTTTCTTCTGTGCATTAGATTTATATATTTGAGAAAATATAGCATTTTCAGTGTAAGCACATAGACTGAGATAATGATTTAACTTGCGTATTTGTCAAGATTTAGAATATGAAGTACCATTATACTTAGTTCAACTGTTGGTGTAAATCTCTTCGTTAAATTAGGGAAGTTCACTGAAATTGGCAACTGGAATTGCCATGACGAGCCTAAAGTTATCTATACTATCTTATAAAGCATTTGTCTAAAACTCTTAAAAACTCTTAAAGACAACCTCTATTGCTTTAGGTACAACCTACTAAAGCATACTATCCCTAACCCCCGCCATCCCTAATCTGCGTATCCCTAAACCTAATCCCATTTTTATCGCCCCAACCCAATTCGATTTCATCTAAACGATTTCATCGCCCCAACCCAATTCGATGAAATAAACCCTAAACGATATCATCGCCAACGGAGTTTGAATAATACAGATTCGATTTAATCCCTAAATATTCTGAGATGATATCGATTGAGATGATATCAACTAGAGATGCATATATATTTGACATGTTCTTCAATCCATCAGTGTCAGTCCTGAATCTAGAGGAGGTATTCGTTCGTACTTGCAGCGATTGGAAAAGATTGCAGCTTACAGGTTCATATGCGTTTTCTATTCCTGTTTAATTTAATTTATGTAGTTTCTAATTGAACACAACAGATTGCATTTGGATGGATTTTGGATTGTTATCGTCGTTTTCGTTGTTATATTTGGAAGTTAGGGTTTGAAAGGTCAAGTTTGGGCCAAAGGGGCTTTTGCGGGAAAATTAGGGCACAACTTATCTACACGCAGTATCCAAATCCACCATCCCTCCAGGATTATTGTTCTTCGTAAAGGTACTATTTCTCTTGTTAATTTCGTTATTTTTTTCATAATTTTCAGTTTTCGTCACATTTTGGTGTATAAGTAGGTTTTACCTGCCAACTTTGATGAATCTCTTGTTTGTCGCTGGAATTCGAGTTATGCTTTCACTTGCAATGCTATCAACTGAGATCAACTACTGGTTATGATCGATACTCTCCGTATCTATATGTGTGTTGATGGACTAAATTTGGCATCATTTTAGGGTTTACGAGTTGTTTCAGTAGATTTTGATTTGTGACCGGACTCATTGGTAAAATAGGAAGTGGATAGGAGTTGGTCCAGAGAAGTGCTATTCGCTATTGTTGTTCAAGAAAAAAGGCAACCTCAAGTTTATGTTTGTTAATAGTATATTAGTATATGATTTTGGATAGGCTAAGGAAGGTGATGGCTGAACTTGCATTTGATGTTAAAGTTTGATTGCTGTTAAAGATACCATAAACAATTTATAAGATGACGCCATAGGAATCTAAATTATTCATTTTACTTGGAAATTTAAGAGAAGGATGAGATAAACCGAGCAATAAGCAATTTACTTGAATCCCAAGTTTATTTAGAGATAAAAGGAAAAAAAATGTCTGGGAAGGAAGAGGACTGTGGATAAATAACTCATAACCAACAAGTTAGCAAGTCATAAACACATGCAAAGTTGCATACATCTTTGTTAAATCGACTTGCCAGTGATCTAGAAGTAATAAAGGGTGATCATGCAAGTAATAACGTATTTTATTCAATCATATGCTTTAGAAGGAAAGATAAACTAACTGGTCCAAGGGTTATAGTAACATGACAGTTTATGTAGTTCAGTGGTTCCAATATTAATCGTGTTTACACTATACTAAACTGTCTTTATTTACCATTTCTTATAACTTGATGCACATAAAAGCATTTTTTTTCTCTCCCTCACCTTAGGATTATAAAGAGTGTTTTCGAAGTAAAAGTCGATGAAACTTAAAAAGAACTATTCACGAAAAATGTCTATTATTACTCATATATATATATATATATTCAGTTTGTAATGAGATAGCTATGCTGCTAAAAACATTACTGAACAAGTGAACATATTTATAATGTGTCAAATTATAGAAGGTTCAAAAAGTTAATCAACTTAACCCATCTACTTTGTGTCTGACATCCATTGTTAACAATGGACATACACGCTATTTGCCCATTACTACTAACCCTTATTCTCAGCATCCCTCTAAAAATGATCATGATAGCAGCTGTTATATGTTGGACAAAACAGTCATGGCATGTGCCTGCTGCCTGCTGTTGAAACTATGTACTATAAACAAAGAACAAATCACCAATATAACATTGTTCTAAGCTCCTACCTGTCTTAATTAATTAACAAATGCAGATGTAACAGCTACCATGAACTTTCCTCATCCAGATGGTTCTTGATATATTAACCTTAATGACAATTAGCATARCATCCTTATGATAGAGGTAAGCTAGATAAAATCACTGTCTCTTTTTGCAAAAAGCATCGGTGATTATAGCAAAAAGTGTCATATGGTTAGAGACAGCTCAGTTTGTCCAAATTTGCAAATATATGATATCCAATTGCAAATAACAAATTGTTATACTGTTTGTCAATATATAAATTGGTAATAACAGTAAATAGTTTGCAAAGAGACAACTCAATTGCATAATCACATTTGCATTTGTTAACCAAGTTATGAAATTATGTGTACTCGATCTTCTTCAATCTTCCAGGTAAACGTTTAGGGTTCTGTTTAGCATAGGGTTCTGTTTAATCTTCCAGTCTTCTTCTTCAATCATCATCTTCTGATTGTATTTTTTATATATTCATATAAATAAGTTCTTCATATTTTAAAAAATAATCAGCCTCTATGACACTTATCTAGCTCTATGGAATCACTGGTATGCTAATTGTTTATGAAACTTTAGTCTAATCTCACTCGACTTGTACTTTGTAATTGTGTAGGTTTGTCGACCCTTTGCATTGAGCTTTTTGAGCTTTAGGATTGCGGAGTTTATGTTTACCCTTGGGATAGTTGCTCACTCACACTTATAGCACCACAGATTGAACACTTTGTGGTTGAAGACTGTAACTGGGTTAGACTTCACAAGACAAATTGTTTAGAGAATCTTTTCATTGGTAACCATAGGGTAAAATTCCAAATTTTCTCATTTCATTAGGATGTTTGGATGTGCGTTTAAACTCATAATGATCAATTTATATTTTGGTCTTATTCCTTTTGCAGTGCTTACCATGTTGGACTTTATTATTGATATGGTTCAGTTAAGTTGAAATTAGATGTCACAATTATACATAATTTCGTAAACAGTGGGACTTGAGATATCATAAACTACTTCTGGAAGTGTGTAAATTGGAGAAAATCTCCACTTGATTGTAGATGCCTTGATTCTTACATTTCATTGAGAACTTAGACACACATTACAAACGAACTTTATGTATGATATTAATTAGTTTGGCTTAATAGTCTGTCATTATTTTTTACTTAAGATTATTTAAATTGTAGTAGCTTTAAAACAAACAGGTTGGAGTCGAAACATGCAATCAGTTTGGGTAAGGTCAAAATTGCTTTCTTTGTTCTTCTTCCTTTTCGTGAATCTTCCTGCGCCAAAACCAATCAGTAAGGTCAGCCATATCTAATACTGTTGGAGCTGTTACTGTAAACCATATTTTAGTTCTGGTTTTGTTGTTTGCAATCATTCAACTTGAAGTTTGCTTTTATTGCTAGATATATGTTTTTTTTTCTTTTACATGGGATTAAGTATAGATGCTTTTAAGTATGGGTTTATACATGTTTATGTGGATCTCTGATTAGAAATAGCAACTGATTGGCTTCTTGGACAAAGAATCTTTATCATGTATGGCAATGGAAGATTGTCAAGGATTGGGGATTGTAAATGATCTTTTTATTTAAAGGTATGGCCGTATGGGGGTTGTTAATACAGATCAGATATTTCAACTATTTAATGAGCAGGACCAAGTTTGGATTTTTACATTCTTCATTATCCATTGTTGATCAATGTTTCAAACAGGTTGGCTTCAAAATGTTTTTAGAGGTTGCTGCATCTCTACATATTCGTAATAGGTTGGCTTCAAAATGTCCTTCCATAGGGACGAAGGTACATTTGCTTCTCCTCTCCCTCTCTAAACTAATTTAATAGAATGTTACTGAGTATTGCAAGAAATTCACCAAAAAAAAATCCTGCAGTATTAGCATTTAAGAGTCAATGTTAATACTTGGATAATATATTGGATCGTGAAAGGAGTCACTCTGTAGGTAATATTTCGACCCTATTGCAGCATGAAAAGATTGAGAAGATTGGTGAAGGAACATATGATGTGGTCTACAATGCTCGTGATAGAATAACAAATAAAACTATTGCTTTGAAGAAGATTCGTCTCGAGCAAGAAGATAAGGGAGTTCCAAGCACAACTATAAGAGAAATCTCGCTGTTGAAAGAGATGGAACATGAAAACATTGTCAGGTATATTTGAATGTTAGGACACTCTTAAGAATTTAATTGAGCAATAAGCAGCTATTTTATTTGGCATCTAGGCCTCTGATATTTGTGTTTCAATAGATGGTGCATGCTCTTATATATATGACTTACAAGGAATGGAGTGGAAATTGGGATGTTTGTTTTTAAATATGTAATTTTACCGCAATAAGTAGCCAAAACCCAAGGTTTATGAAATCTTTTATTTGTGATTGGATTAGTGGCCCTATATAAGACCTCCATTTTCTTTCTCTGTTATTGTGTAAAAATCTATCATTGACAAAGACCATCTGCTAATTTGATTTGGAAATGTTTCCTTTCAATCTATATATGCTTCACTCTCCAACATTTCTTTTTTAGGCTCCATCATTCCTGTTTGCTTTCTACCTGAATGGCTTTCACTCTCCACTATTCTCAAAAGAAAGAAAATTGCAATTAATGTTTGCAATTGCTAAGACTGTAATTCTACTTCTGCAATAAGTAAGTTTATTGCTTGCGTAGATAGACAATTGGATTTTAATGCTTAGAAGTCAATTTTTGTGTCATATTAAAGAAGAACTTAAAATGAGAACCAATGCTTCTATTAGTTTTACTCGATTATATAGATGAAGCTTCATATAGCTTTTCAATGATCTGTGACTCTGCTTCTATAATTGTGGATGTCAGTATACCTTAAGCCTCTAATAAGATAAAAAAAAACATGTATAAGTCCTCCCGAAACATGGATGTTTGAAGTTTCAAGTTATGAAGTCTTAGGGGCCGTTTACCAAACACTTACCTGGGTAAGTGCTTACCAAGTCACATTACCTCACTGGATGAATATGGTAAGGACTAAGAATCTTACCCGGTAAGAGCAAGACAAGGACCATGAGTCTTACCCGGTAAGTGAGGGCGATGACTCTTACCACGATGAGCGCTTACCGGGTGAATTGTTGCGTACAATGTCATTTTGATGGACTAAAATCTTACCTGATAAGTAAATAACAGTGTTAAATTTTACCCGTAAGCACTTACCGGGTAATTTTCCTCATCGGATGAACATGGCAAGGGCCAAGAATCTTACCCGGTAAGAGCGATGATAATGATGGAGAGTCTTATACGGTAAGTGAAGGTGACGACTCTTACCCAGGTAAGCGTTTATCTGGTAAATTGTTGCATAAGATACGTTTTGATGTACTACAATCTTACCCAATAAAATAAATTATAGTTTTGACTCCTATAGTTAAACACTTACCGGGTAAGCATTTAGGTAAACGGCCCCTTAGTTTAAATTAAAAGAGGACACTCGAGACTTGGTACAGGGATGGCCAGTATCTGCTCTTGGCACTCTCAAGCCTTCCTTACCTTCTCCCAACCAAAACCTGTGTCTGTTCTTAATTCAAAAATTTTGCTTAGGATTAGATAATTTATCATAGATGTAACTTAAACTAATAAAAGTTCATACATCATGTGTTTTTTTAGTATATCTGCTGCCAATAGATTATTTATTGAATGATATATGTTTGGTGACAGGTTACATGATGTCGTACACAATGACAAACGTCTGTATTTGGTCTTTGAGTACCTAGACTTAGGCTTGAAGAAACACATGGAATCTTGTCCAAAGCTCTCAAAGGATCCTCATCTTGTAAAAGTGAGTAATCTTTTCATGCCTCCTAGAGGTTGGTGTGTACCCTAGGACTGAACTTAGTTGAAATACCAATGGTTTCAAAGTTCAATAACATTTTCTCTAGAAGTTTACAGTACATGAAGGCCCTTTTCTGAGAGGATTTGGATACCAAACAAGCAACATAGTGCAGCTTGTAGGGATGGTAGTGAAGATCCAAACACTTATGAATAAACGTTTACCAAGTCATTTACCTTACCGCTTGAGCATACATAACAAGAATCGAGAATTTTACGCAGTAAGAGAGAAGACAAGGACCGAGAGTCTTACCCGTAAATGAGAGTGGTGACTCTTATCTGGTAAGCGCATACCAAGTAATTACCAATCCATTTTGATTGCCGGAAATGTTACCTGATAAGGTAACCGAGGGCAGTGAGTATTGGCGGTAAGCATTTACCCGATAAGCATTTACGTGATAAGTGTTTGATATACATGCGAATGATCGTGTGAAAAAAAGAGTTAAGGTGAGAAGCGTAAGAAGGAATATGGACCATGATCACCTTTAATCTCAAACCCACCCATGAAAATCGCGCTTGATTCGGGGACTGATCCGGTGCATCTCATCATAATGTGAATCCAAGCGTGAAGATCCCTTCTTACGCTTTTCTCTTCTTCTCACCGAAAACCAACGCTTGATATACAACCCCAAGTTTTTATGTTGTGTTTTAACTATGTTGAAATGTTGTTGTGACCATAGGATAACAAATTCCAGAAGGCAAGAAATTCAAGCATAATCATATGGGTAATAATGACAGTAGAGTCCAGGACATATAAATTCAAGCATAATCATATTGGTAACAATGACAACGGAGTCCTGACATATAAATTCTAGCATACTTTTCTCTTTTTTTGCATCCATGGCCATTATTTTCATTGTTCATTTGGGAATGCAATGCCATTTGTACATACAACCAGTAAATTATTTATAAATGTTTTGATTGATGTATGTTATTTTGCAAAGTGATTTATATTTGCAAGGTAATTTATTAATTTAGAACATTTATTAATTGGTCATCGTTCATTCAATTTTAAATTATATAGAAGGTTAAAACAACAATTTTTACGCCATTCAGACATTGTATTTAGAACATTTATCAAACAATCTTTTTTTATTCTACACTAAATCATATAAAGTCTTTTAATCATTCTTCACCATATCATTTTGTATTTACCAAACCACCCCTTAGATTAGTTGATCTAATTCAGTTGTTTATTGTATATGATTTTTGTAATCGACATAATCCAACTAGATTTACACAGTCGATCAGTAACAACGAAGGATTAAATTGGTTTGGTTTTATCCAATATTTTGATCAATCACCGAATAATTTCAACCATTTTTATACACCAAGATGCAAAATACAAATATTACATAAAATATTTCTTTTTGTACTTTATCAGTAATTAGATTAGATTGGATTTGTTTAAATATTATTTTATTTTAACAATTTTTCGTCGATCGGCTACAATTAGAACCATAATATTATTTATTGAAAACGTATCAATATGTAAATCTTAAGGGGTCATTTACCAAATGTTTACCTGATAAGCATTTATCATATCATTTACCTTATCGAATGAATATTACAAGGACCGATAATCTTACCCAATAAGAGTGATAAAGATGGAGAGTCTTATCCGATAAGAGTGATGAGAAAGATGAAGAGTCTTACCCAGTAAAAGTGACGATAAAGACGTAGATTCTTACTTGGTAAGTGAGAGTGACGACTCGGTAAAGATGGAGGGTTTTACTCGGTAAGGGCTTACCTGATAAATTGTTACATATGATACCATTTTGATGGACTACAATCTTACCAGTAAAGTAAGATATATTCTTAAATCTTAGCGGTAAGCACTTAGGTAAACGACCTCCTAAGTGCAAATATATCATCCTTAAAATATCCTCAAACAAAACCACCAAAGCATCAAAATCGTTTACATTTACAGTTCCCGCCGCATTGTGCGGGTACACCACTAGTAGTTTATAATGTATTTTATGGAAGGATCCTTGTATGTAAAGATCTATATCTATAAATGAATACATATAAAATAAAGATTGTATGACATGAAGTAGTATTATGGGATTTAAGTATTAAAAATAATTCTGGTGTTGTTTTCGTTATTCGTATTGATGGGGGAATTGACAGATTGAAGATCATTCTATATAAATGAATAATAGTATGTATAAAATATATTATGATATTTGAATTGTGGTATTGTTTATGTTACCTCACGTTATGAATCACTTAATAGGTTGGAGAATGATTATATATATATATATATATATATATGAGAGGAGAAGATACGCATTCGAAAATTAAAATGGTTACTTGGCTAAAGTACGCATTCGATTCATATCTTACAAAAAAATGATATAAAAATAAAATTTAATTGAATATTTATGAATAAAAGGAAGATGGATTTGAGTAGTTAATTTTTTGAATTATAATGGTATTTTGATTATCTAACTTTATCCCTTTGTTTAAAATATTCACTAAAACTAAATGTCACGTTTTTTTTACATAAATTTATATCATCGTGCAACGCACGATGTCGAAGACTAGTTCTTCTAAAAAGGGGATATTGTAATGATCGGTTTTGAATTGTAGTTAGTCGGGTTTCAAAGATTTTATAGCGGTGGAAAGTTCAGGGGTAAAAATGTGGCATTTGTTGGATGTTGAGGGATCTTTAGTGAAGTTGATTTCTCCTCCTTGTGGGTTTAAATTTTGGATCCAATAAGAATTGGATGATAAATGGTTTCATGTGGGTAGGGATGGCAAAAAAAACCGAAACGACCGGTGAAAACCGAAAACCGAAACTTTCGGGCCGGGTTCGGGGACGGGGCGGGGATCGGAGACGAATTCGAGGATTTTAACGGGGACGGGGTGGGGATGGTGATCATCGGCCCGGCCCCGCCCAATATGTATATATATATTAATTTTAATTTAATACATACATATATATAT